CTGTGTTTTAAATTCTAATTAAAAACACATTTTCTTGAGAGAGTCACAAAAAGTAAATGAAATTTGAAAGAACACATGATACTGAATAGAAAAATGCATCAGCAGGGAATTGATGCGTATTTAAGAAATTCAAGAGAAACGCGGTAGGTACGTCAAAAAATTTTAAATTACAAAAATAGTCAATGCTCGCCAATCACAAGTGTAAACACTTCCGTTAGGTCTTCGTGCACCTCATTTAGTTATGGTTCCACACCCTGTTCACCCCTTTGTGCCACCATCCACTGACGGTAGTTAGTCACGAATAGCTAGGTAGATTTACCTAGATATTATATCATACGGAAGCATGTGAACATACGCGGCCCCTTAACATGCCAATCCCAAGATTCGTATAATTAATTAGACTAAGCCGAGGAAACATGAAGTTATGTGAACTTACTATGTTAACTAACAACTTGTATCAACATTTACCTGTTTCCTTGTCTGCGATTCATCATTCGTAGAACTTAGAAAAGCTAGAAGCTCTCCTAAATTCGAGTAAGCATTTTGCTACTTAAGTACATTTGAAAATTGTACTTTGTTAAAAAAAAAAAACTCTTTATTTCCTCTCTTTTATATATCATTAGCTTTTATATATCATTAGCATTAAATATATAACATACATTTTTACTAGAAAATTGGAAACAGAAGAAACTAATTAATACGGAAGCTGTTAGTCCTTATTTTGTCGTTCATTCCACATGCAAAAGAAAATCATGGTAATCGAAAGTATCACCGTTCAGAACATTTGTATTCACGTAGGACGATAGAATAGTAACAAGCTCAACAAGGTCGATAGCACGATGACAAAAATTACCTGCTCGGTCGCGTAAATGCATTTGAGCCTTAACAAACGATATTATTAGCTGCATTGATTTGGTTTAATCAACTCCTATCGAGCAAATCGCCCGCAGGGTTTGTGTATTGGTGCAGCATCGGCGAATGCGATCACGCGATTCGATGGATCGGGGACAAACGTAAAAGGGTGAAAGGACACAGATGTGCAAACCAACCAACCAATTAACTAACCAACGAACGTCACGTGTTTGCTGAATAAAATAAACTGGCCGCGAAAACGCTGTTAATGATAAGTCGCGGCGCGTTTAGGAATGAAGGCGCAGTGTTAAAATCAATGAGATCGTTAACTGGATAGTAACAGTGAATTGTTTAAAGCGAAGATCGAAAAACAGTATTATAGAATGTCCATCATATATTCTTTCGACTGCAGATTTTTATCATTAGATTATTGGCAGTGCAAAATGACAGATCAGTGTTGATCGCATATTATTGAAAAAAGAATAAATTATTGACAGATCGTTGTCAATTTTAATACTTTAATATTTCAGTAAATTGCTCATTAAAAATATAAAGCTTTTTTAATAAATTTATGAGATTGATTCTAGTTTCGTTATTGATTAAAACGTTTGCCGTCCACTTGATGGAGAATCGATCTGATGCTTAATTCACAGACTATTATCGTGACATGCGGATCGCAAACATGTATCAGCATAATGCCCTTTTACCGCGAACGATTTCAACGATTCTATGTCACGAAGCTTGTAATTATCGAAGCGATCAAGTGGTATATATCGATATGAGATTTGTGCGCTAAACTGGTATAATATGTGACTACATGAAAATATTATAGAGTTATCATCGTTTCATCAATCCGCGAATTATTTTATGAATTTCTGAATAAGCTATGTCTTCGCAAAAGTGAATGTATGAATAGACTACGTCTTCATTAAAGCCTCAGCAAGTGTCTTTTCAGATTTCAAATAGAAAAATTGTTTGCAATAAATAATAGTAAATTATAGAATAATAGTAAAATATAAAAAATCATATTTTATATATAAAGTGAGATAATTTAATTTATTTCTTACTATATAATCCTTCAGATTTAATGAGTTTTCTAATAGATTTATATATATTCTACATGATACTAAAAACTTAATAAAAATTATATTTAGCTTGTATATTAATAATTATTACATCTTTATGTTGAAGTAAAATTAAGGAAATTATCCACTAAAAAATATGAACTTTAATAAAATGTAATTTGCAAGAGGTGTTAATACGTGACGTTTCAAAGCTTCTAGAAGAAGATTGAATTTTTTATTAATGTTCTGAATTCTAAATTTCTGACGATATATTTTCAAAAATGTGAGGCAAGTAACTCTGCTAATAAAGTCATATTTATGATTTTATGATACATGATTGATTTATTTTTACAATAATCCATAGATGTCAAACGTTATCCACTTTTGCTCGACAGAATCTTGATAGCGGCAGTATTTGAAAATCAGGTTACACGTAAGGTAGCATGCAACGAATATTTTAAGATACGACCGACCTTAAAATATTCGTTGAAAAAGAGACAAATAGCTTCTGGATTAACTGCATGTATCTACTCTAGCCGTTTTTGTCAGCCTGGAAAGAGTATACGCATTCCATCGTGACACCTCATCTAACACTCAAAGCATACATCTATATTTTATCATACTTGATTTTGACGTGGATGTACTTTTTGCTGTCTATAAAGTGTCACGAGATATTTCTGATCGCCTATGAATCATAATATCGACTATATGGATTCAGTCCCCCGTGACCGTTCTAATCTCAATACTGGATTATATCATCACTGAACAACTATATATACGATAATAACTCTTAATCATATGTAAGCTACTATTTTTACCACGAGACTTTCTACGATATGTCACGAGAGATACTCTTGACTATTTACGAAACAAAATAGATAATAAGTTTGTTTTTATTACTGCGCTAATTGCACTAGAAGTTTTCTTCTTGCTTTCGCTAAATATATACCTATTTTATTTTAAGTGAAAGAAAGAAAGATTTTGCTGAAGCACCTAAAAATTTAGTTAGATACACATCTAAAAATAATTTTGTCGGATTAAAATAATTGTGCAAAACGTTCAAATTGGTTGCTAGAATGTCAAAACTTTTTACAGTATGTATATTTTCAGATTTATATCCAACTAAATTTTCAGATACTTCAGTAAAATCGTTCTTTCCATGTGCAAACTCAAAACAAAAAGTGTATACTAGTTTTGTTACAAAAAACAAAATGGCAAAATAAGTTTAAAAGGTATTGTTAATCGATTCAATTTACTGTATGCAACATTTTTGTTCAATTTATCTCAAGTTAGCGCAATAAAAATGTGCCATTACTGTTAGTTTAACACTCTCTTTTTATTGTAATGACATTCAGGATGAATCTCATAATATCGTAATATTATGAGATAATCACTTGATCATTAGTCATTACGGTTTACTGACATGATAATTCAACCAATCAACGTTTGCATCTACCTGTTTAGATTCGTTTCAGTGATTAACATTGTATTGTCTATTCAGAATATATTCAGAATATCTCGTTGTGAAGTATATGTATATATCGTATATATTACGCGTCTATCTACGATTACTAACGGCAAATGATTGAAAAATCGAATCTCTCGCGCGCGGAACGAGATATTGGACGATAGCTGGGGGAAGAAATCAATGGTCACTCCTTTACCTTCGTCATGACTGACTCATCCATGTGTCCGTCTTACCTGGTCGAATCAATTTCCTGGCCGTATCGTGAAGGGTCGGGGCGATCGTTTTGTAAGACTTCCTTCGTTGTCTAAGATATCGCAGAAATTTATATCTTGCCACCCGGATCGTTTTACGATCAATTACCGAGAGCGAATTATTAGCCGGTGGCAGCGGTGGCCAATACTGGAATTAATTAACTTAGTAACGATAAATAGTAGTATTTATGAATAACTCAATTATGTCTAGCGCGAACTTGCTCGTTTACATATTTCTGCAGGCTAATAATATTAATAACGCGTAAATTAATGATGTGTAACGGATATTGTGCATTTGTGGTGTACATTTATTTTTATCTGTTTATATTATACGATTAATTGCATGATGAAACGTGTTATGTTATCAGAATCAGGAACGTAAACAACCGTTTAAATTTGTCTATAACTTGCCGCAAACGAAATACCTCAATCTATTCTCCTCTCTCTCTTTCTCTCTCTTTCTCTCTCTCTCTCTCTCTCTCCTTTTTCCTTATTTACATTTTTTTCTTACTAAAAATTCACTATAAAAAAATTTTAAGAACATCAAATTTTATCAAAAATCAAGGAATTTTCAATCATTTAATTTTATATAAAAGATTAAGTCTTCCTATAATTCAAAGATTTTTTGCAAGTTTGTTCTATATTAAGTGTTTTGCATTATTGAGCAACTAAGTTATTGATATTCGATTGAAATTCCTAACAGTTACGCTTTGGAATATTTACTTTAAATTCTGGCATGCAAAAGTAATCGATAAAGAAGAAATAGAATTAATAAAGAAATATTAAGATTCGAGGAATTTGAGAAACTGAAAATTTATTTAAAAAATAAAACTAGTTTACAAATTTCAATAGAATAAATTCAATAAATAAATAATTGTTGAAATGAAACCGAGTCCTGAAAATAGCACATAAGAATTCTAAATTAATCATGAAAATCTAAAATCATTTGTTTTTTTTTTAATTCTTTTACTTTGGAAATTGTATTTTCCTAAACAAATTCAATTTTTTTATATATTTTGCTTTGTATACATAAAAAAAGTATGTAAAATCCAGTAATCAATAAATAAAAATTTCTAAAGTTTTTTTAAACAAAGTTAAAACGAAAGTTTTTTTTTTCTTCGTTTATTAAATTAAATTCGTATGTATTAAAAATGTTATTGCGTTCGAAGTTACTTCTTTAAATTAACGACAGATATTTTTTGTAGGTATCCGGCACTCTCACGAAAGAATCGTAAAGGAGAAACGGATGATTGCAACGAGCTGCCAATTAAAGAAATGGATACGGTAATTACAAAGCCGCGTCGGCGACTAGGAATACGAGCCAATTCGGCGCGTTAAATGCTCCCCCGGCGATTCACGTTCCAGCCGGGGCTCTCGCGGATCTGGGATGGCCTTCTGGGAGCAAAAGCGGCAAGAGCAGCAGGAACAGCAGCAGCAACAGCAGCAGCAGCAACAGCGATATCGGATCAAACTCAGTTAACAAGCCCGTGTCGTCGCTGTATCGGTCGCGCAAGTAGATAGATTTTAAATCGAGTCAACTGTGGGACAACGGTAACAAAGTTAACACGGCAAAATAATCCAGGGGCGATTGGCTCGCGTATTCCGTATATAATGAAAGCACATGAGACGAGACGGTAGTGGACCCCGAGGATGGTGGACGCTGCGAGGAAGAAATTGAATTCTGTTTTTACAAGCCGCCTAATCGCTCGACACATCGCAGTGTCAAGAGAGATTCTGTTTAATGCAGAACACTGAAAAATGTAGATACAAGTATAGTTACAAAGAAGACACTATTAACCCCATCCTACTCCATCGAAACCTTTCGTGTGTATCGACAGTATCCACGATCGATCAGCGAAAGTACAGGCTATAAAATATAACGCTACGCCAACGTCGAAGAGAAACGTACCGGATGTCGCAAGGAAAAGGAATGACACGGTGAGAAAACCTAGAGACAACCAATCTCAGGAATGTGACATGTGGCAGAATTCCGTGTGAGGAAATCAGTATCTTCGAACGGAAATCGTGAAACGAAAGAAAGGGAGGAACGTACGGAATAACAGATCGACATACGGGATCGAACAAAGACTCGTCCCAACAAGTGTCCTTACGGATTCAAAAGTTTCCTGCCCGACGTCATCTTCGTCGCGAAGCGGCGTTGACTGTGTTATGGAATGAATCGATGCCCGGACGGGGCATCTAAGTGTCCACGATCATCATCTTCAATACGAGCATCATGACCCCGATAATGCTCCTCCTATCCGCTCTGCTGGCCATACAATCCTGCTCGACTGTTTGCTCAGCGAGCAGCGATGGTAAACCTAATGGCCCGATCTTTAATCTAGATCACACTGTTCTGGAAAAGAACTTAGCGGCAATTTTCAACAAGGTGGCACATAGTTCCGCGACCACGAAGCGTAGCGTGCCGGCATACGATGCTCAGGTGTCAGCTAGCACAACGTTGTCGACGGTACCATCGCCGTTAACCACCAGTACGATCACCAGTACAACCACCGCTAGCCCATCGATACCTGCTATTAAGTATCCGGCGGCGCCACGGGCCACGGCATCCCCCGTCTTTCGAGATCTGCCGTCGTACGCGCCTCCTTCCAGGGCACTCTTCACGCCACCCCTACCACCAGAGTACCTGCACCCATTCGCCGATAAACCCACACTGCGAGGTACCAACTCGGACGTACATACCAACAACAGGAGACCGGTACCGCCACCGAGCTTGACGCCGGCGCACGAGAGGATACCCATCCGACCGCCGGATCTACCTCAGAGTCCTTCTCAAGTACCAGAGAGGCATCATTCTCATACGAGGATCAAATCGGCAAATGTGCCCGACAGCAGAGAGCAGAGGCCGGCGGAATCTGGTGAGGCCGATCGAAAGAACAGCACGAACGATCCTTCGTTCGTGACTCTTCATTACCCCAGTATTTCTAGGATTTTATCTGGCAGCAACGGCAGGAAACAGGATATTCCCGATATACTGTTAAAGCCTTTAGCTACGAAAAGTCCGTTGCTGCCGAATATTCCTCCTGTCCCAACGACCGATAAAATTACGTCGCCACCAAGCACTATGACGCCGAAAACGCCCGGCAGTACCGTGGATCCTTCGAAGATCGTGGTCACGCAGCCAACGATCTTCAATCTACCAAACACTGGCCGACAGGACGACGATGGCTATCATCACGGCCTGAGGAACGAACACGATACTGATAGTATCGAAATAGTGGATACGGAGAGGCTCCCGTATCCACAAGCCCAGCCGCCGGCACCAACGCCAAAGCGACCAGCAAGCGTCGACGACGACGACGATGACGACCGTTTGATACCACACGTCGACACGCATCCACTTGAGTCTACGTGGCGGATCGCCTGGTCGCTGCACGTGTACGTCGCGGCGATTATGTTTACGCTCATGGCCTTGTATTCGATCTACAAGATCGTGCGTTTCAACGAGGCAACGAATCTACTCACACAATCGTATTTCCTAGCCGTTCATCTACTGTTGACCACAATCTGCACTCTGAGGTGCTTTCACCTCTTTTACGACGCTTACAATCTCGGACATTCGCTGCCGGAGTCATTGTCTAGAGTGCTAATGTACCTGCCGGCACCACTCTTGTCTACGGCGTTTGCCACTCTGATGTTGTACCTTGCGCGATGCTCGGAAGCACCGTCGCTTAACAACAACATCCTCTCGCCTATTACGCTTGTATTTTCATCCACGGTGCACATTATACTGTGCGTATCCCTGCACGTGTCCGCGCACATGCTCGGCTATCAGGACGAGGCGAGAATCCTACCGCTCATCTGCCAGTGCATTTACATTATCGTCTGCATCACTCTAGGTTTATGCTATATGTACGTGTACCGCGTGGTGCGTTCGCAGATTCATATGGCCAGCAATAAGGCAGCCGGCGCAAATCATATGATGGGCGCCGATCCTACTACGGTGGCTCTCAGCACTGCCATCACCACCACTATTGCCACCGCTCTGTTGTTCATCCTCATGGGTCTCGTGCAGCTCTACGGCGTATTCGGCGTTCAGGAACGTCCGCAACAATTTCCATGGCTCTGGTGGGGCTGGCAGTTCTCCGTCAGATTACTAGAGCTATCCGTTTGTGGTCTCCTAGCCTGGGTTGCCAGCCTATCTCAATATCCGTTGCGCGAGAAACAGATGCAGCAACACTCGGCACACTCGGGCTTCGCTCTGTTCCCCTGCGGCAGTTCCACCTCTACGGAAAACATGGATGACGTACTCTACCCCGCCATATGTAGTACCAACCAAGCGATTCAAAATTATACCATGAGAACAGGAAAACAAGTCTACGATGATAGTTTTCCACTGAATACTTTGCCCGAGCATTTGAACATATCAGGTAAAAAAATTGTAACAACTCATATTTCTCATTAACAATCTATTTATAATTAAAATTTATTTATGTTTAAAATTTATTTCTCATTATCAATCTAAAAGAGACTGATATTATATTAATTATCAGACTGTTCAATATAACTATTAATTAATTTGTAATAACTAATAATTATTTATTATACAGGTACCTTTGAGAGACATTCCATCCGCAAGTCAGGTACAATGGGCCACTTTCCTCACGAAGGTCGGGGTTCCTTAAGTCGTCATGGAAACGGTATACAAACTCTAAGGAACTCAGAGACTCGCGGGAGGCATACGCCTGTACAAGGCCTACATGAACAAGCTCCAACCAGCGGCTCGACGATGCTAGTCGCCGAGGACGGCTTCGTTAGGTTCCGGAGTCTTGGTGCGGAGGAAGATGAGCTGTCCGATACGCAAAGCATGGTCGGCACTCACGGCAGGGGAAGTTCGCTTGCTGGTAGTGTTAGATATAACGCGAGGCATCCCACAGTACAGCATCAGCACCCCCATCAGCACCAACACACGCTGCAACACTCGCATCCGAGTCAACATCAAACCCACCACCAACTTTACAACAACACATAAAGGCTGTGCCAACGCGATGACTAGAACGTGATTCTTGTTGACTCGGTAGGTAACGAGAAATAAACTTTCAATCGTTTATTATTTTAATGAGAAATATATAAAAAATAAAATGCTAGTAAATGCACAAATAAGATGCTAATATCACAATATTAGCAAAGAATTTTTTGTAATAAATAAATTTTGGGATAGATATAAATAATAAAATTTTTAATCATTTAACTTTATGAGTGATGTAATATAATTGATGTTTTTTTATTGCAGACGTAACGATCGTCGTCGATGAAACATAGGATATATCGACACTCGCGAGAATCGTCGCCCTCGCAAACTTCGGTCTAAACTAATTTTATCTCGTACTCTATGTAAGATATGTCCTGTGTATAGACATCCTAATTGCCATTCCTCCCCTCCCGCTTTGCATCGACGTCCGAGCCAAGCCTCTGCCGTACGATATCTATACATATTTATTTTGATCCTCGATAAGCAAGTAAAAGTATACGGCGAACTCGTTTGGGGTTCCTCTACCTATATGTGGGTAGTTCAGGGTATATTGAAACTTGATCTTATATTAGGCACTTGGTACTTATTAAGATTCATGTGATTGAAAAAAAATAAAGAAATAATGTGTCTCACTGAAGTATATAGGAAAATGCTTCTCTCTCGGTTTTATGTTCACTGTTAGTACCGAACACGGCTGTGGAACGTATTGGAGGAACAAATGATTTTAAATTAGTTCTAATGCCACATAAGGAATTCCGATGTATTTTAGCAAACACACTGCTATTTATTCGATGCCACGTTATAAAAGACTTTGACGTTATATTGTCCCAGCAGTTTTTATAACATTCATTATTTTACATAGTCGTACATACATTAAAAAGCATTTCAATGACCACCTTTCAATTGGTACTTGTTCTTCTTTGAATTTACTATTGTGACGGAAATTCGACATAAAGTCAGCTTTGCGATCAGCAAGAAGTATATTTTTTACAAAAAAAAATTGTACGCGAGGTCCAAACACTCAACTGGGGAAAACAATTACGATTCTCATTCAGGTATTCCGAGATTAGGATATGATTGTGTCAAGCTGAAAGCGATGTTTGTACAGTCGATGATAATTTATCACTCAGTCCAATTGTACGATTTAGTTAGCGGCTAAGACTAGATTAAGAAAATTGCGGGTTACGTTAAGTTTAGCCATTAAGTTAGGCAAGACGCGACTAATGTCAACAGGTTTACATTTAATAAATCGAAGGAGAATAAGGAAGACGTCAAAAAAAATACTATTACCGATTTAGAATAGATGACATAAGTGCGATTTAATGTCACACACACACAGGCCAGCATTTTATTTTATTTCTCAGATTCTAAGGTACAAAATAGTACTTTTTACCTTTCACTTCGTATATCGATAGGTCGCAATGTATATGTTTATATATGGACATTGTAAATAAGGTATACGGGCTCGTCGTGAGTGAATCTACTGTTATGATGGAATCCGATTGGGTTCTATTCGAGATATTGGAATTTATACATTTCTTGGTTGTATAAAAAAAGATGCAAGACTTGTATTTTAATTTATGTCAGAAGCTGTATTTATTATGTGAAACATTCCACAACAAGATCAGTGTGTGCGCGATCGATTTGTGTGGGATTTTATTGCAATTATAAATTTACCTAGGCGCTAAATGAAACGGAACAAATGTAAATAAAAGCTTTTTTGCGAAGTCTTACGTTTGTCTTACTTTCGAATGCGATTTTAGTCATTCTAGATGCAGCAGATGTATATGTAAAACTTCTGATTTTTACATTTTTATAAAAAAATGAATTTTAGTTTGAATATACCTTCACAGGTTATTGTGTTCACATTATTAATTTATCGGGCTAGCATAATTTAGATAAATTTTACAAGACTGCTGTCAGAGTTTATAATTTGACATGCATAACACAAAAATGTTCCCAAATTTAGGTTTCCTATAAACAAATTTTATATTGTAATATATAAATATAATGTGTTAGTTATGTATGCATATTTAAATGATTTTGTTTTATTGTACCATTTCTTTCCATTTTCATTCTCCATTTCGTTTAAATTCCTCATAGAAAAATATCATGCATGTTATTTTATTTTCAAAGAATATCTATTAATATTATATTTTATGTATTGATAAATATATCTTATATTTTATATATGATGTCTACATGAGACAACGAATAACGACATTGATTTCTTTCGAAATCTATCTATTAATATTTGACTTTGGTAAGTATATTTTATAAAAATATGTAACTCTCCTTATTTTAATGACATAAATTTGATCAATGATATTAAATAGAAGAATATTAATCGAACATATTAATACACATTAAAGTATCTATTAATTAAAACTCTTGAGTCACCACAGCCATATTGAATCATGATGTCAGAAGCGAGAAATGACATGTTAATTTTTCTTACGCCATTTATAAATAAAGATAATTTAAATAAAACAAAATGATAAGATTGCTTTAAAACATTTGTAAAAAAAACTATGCTTATCTCCCCTGACAGTCAGTAAAGTATAATCGTCATAAAAGGCACGTGAAAATAACGCATGCGCATTGAATAAAAGCACTTAATGTACTTTTTATCACTTTTTATATCATAATTGAATCATTTGAATCATTACATCATGATTCAATGGTTGTGACTACTTAGAAGCCTTAATAAATTAGATACTTTGTGGACTTTATACCAGGAAGCTATTTATAATGTTTTTGATAACATAGAAATGTTTGTACATGTGTTAATATTTCTCACTTATATTTAGTATTTTTATCAACCGATAAAGCACAAGATAAGTTATATAAAACAGAGCAATCTCGTCATTGATTTAATATTTGCTCACAATTCGTTAAATCATTGATTTATAATCCTTTGCATATTATTATAAATAAATATTGTAATAATTAACGTATAAAATATTATTAAATTGTAAATTGTCAATTAATTATAATAACAAAAAAAGAATGAATTTGAATAAAAAGTGTGTTACATTAAGTGAAGTGAACGACAAGTTCACAAAAGATGTGCTAATAAATATCCTCTCCAAAATATGCAACGAAAAAGAAGTGCAATTGACAGATTGGAGTTTTAACGAGGGATCTGCTAAAGGTGATAATTATTTATCAAATATTTACAAGGGCAAAGTGAATGGCATTATAAATGGCGATCCAAAGCAACATGTGCAAGCGAATATTGTCGTAAAGTCAATGCCAAAAAATCCTGGAACACGAAAGACTCTCAGATGTATAGACTTCTTCAGTAACGAAATCGTTTTTTATACGCAGGTAAGATTAGACATTTATACTTCTTTTTGGGACTTGTATATCTTCGTTTGAAAAAAATATTTATTATATTTATTTGTTTAATCAAATAAACCATTCTCTAATTATTTTACAGATTATATCCAAATTTGAAAACTTTCTAGCAGAAAAAGGACAAACCGATCTATTATGCATACCACGTCATATAATCTCCTCCACAGATAGCGAAAACGGTTTTCTAATTTTAGAAGATGCTTCTTGCTTAGGATTTCGTGCCGTCTCACGACGGAACTGTCTAGATTGGACAGAATGTTTAGCTGTCTTGAAGACATTGTCCAAATTTCACGCGATCTCGTTTGCGTACAAAGATCAAAAAAAGGAAGAGTTTGCAAAAATGACAAGTGCTTTAAAAGAAACTCTCTTCAGCTACGAACATTGGGACTGGTACAAAGGGTATCATGTAAGTAACAGCGAAATTTATCTGATAGAATTTATATGATAGAATCAGTTTTCTTTCTGGAATAAAAGGATCTTTTTCCAGGAAAAGGTACAAGTTCTAATTAAACACGCTTTAGCTACCGAATATCCCAACAGCAAAGCTGAGAAACAATACAATTCTTACAAATTTGGTGCTCTCTTTAACAAGTGTACAGAACTATGTAATAGAAGAGATGCTCCTACATCTATCGTAGTGGAGGGTGATTGTTGGAGTCCAAACTTTTTAATCCGTGATGACATTGGAAGAAATCAAAAGCAAGCATTGATGCTCGACTTTCAGCTCGCACGTTGCGCAAGTCCTGTCATAGACCTGTCATTTCTAATTTATGCTTGCATTCTGAAGTCACTTCGTGATCAATATTTTGATAAGATATTAAAAACATATCATTCTGAGTTGAGCAATGCCATTAGATTACTCGGATCTGATCCAGAGAAACTTTATCCATGGGATTTATTCATGAAAGAGGTAAAAAGTTTTATGATAATTTTTCTCAAGAGAGATAATATTATAAGCAATGTGTAATTAATTGTTAATGTGTTATTTCAGGTGAAGGAGCAATTTGTGTTTGGTGTGTTGGCTTCGCTTGACGCTATTCCATTATGCCTAATAGATTTATCTGAATCATTTACCATAGACACTGTTGTTGAGAGTGATGAAGCAATAGATGTTAGTGATGCGATATCATTTTCTTATCTTACAGCAATCGGAAGACAAAGACTAGCGGATATCATAGTTCACGCTGTTGAAAAAGGATACATATAACGAAGAAAACTTTACTATAAGATCATTATTTGTGTTGTAAAATATAATTAAAACAATTAACAAGCGGATTATTCGATATAATTCAATATAAGTTTTCTTCCTATAAGACACAATATTCTTCGAATGTTATATAAATATTAAAAAGGGAATAATATTCATTCAATATTCTAGGAATATTGTGCTTATAGGATTGTGTTGATACACTAACCAATTTATGTTATTTAAATAAATGGAATATTTTTAATTTCTCTGAAGAGATTCTTATTAAAACAACACAAATGTATTATTTGATATAATTCAATATAAGTTTCCTTACGACACATAAATAGAAATCTATATGTTATCTATAAATAAATGAAATATTTTTAATTTCTCTAAAAAAAATGTATACAGGGGAAGAACTTTTTAAATTATTAATTATTTCTCCTTTTTAAATAATTATTCGTTCTGATTAAAAATATATTTTCTTTAGACTATACTTAATATATATTTTTATATTTTTGTAATGTTATATCAACTATAAAGAAAATGATAATCGGATTATATTGCTCGCATGCAACTTCATCAGAAACAATGTTTACATAACATATTTTTTCACAACTTTTTATTCTTTTTATTCTTTTTCTTTGCAAAGTCTTGCAAATTTCCAAGTTTTCTGAAACGCTAGAATCTCCATAATGTAACATATTACGATATAGGCGATATATGCATACATTCCGTGACTTATCAAAATTCGGAGCACATCCTTATCAATATATAACCATAAACACAAGAAAATTTGCAATATCATAGCGGAAGAAAAGTCAATAAAAGGTATACTGCTGATGTATAAATATTTATACATCATTCATAGTTTCGATAATGACCCTATATATATATATATATATATATATATATATATACAAACATTTAATCCAACTTTTCACCTAAAAATACAAAACATTAAAAAAAAATATGATTTTTGCGGTCGTATGCGATAACACGCTCTATTTCTTATCAGCTGTCCTATAAAATGAAATTTTCTATCGGAGAATCTTCTCATTTCTTCTAGCAATACATAAGGTTATGTTTTGCGTAGTTTCGTGATGCAAATCGATGATAGAAACATGCGCACGATCTACAGTCGACTACAGTGTTCAGAATGTCGACGGAGAGAGACTGGCAGTTCATAGAGTTCAGTCACATTTCCCTTTGTGGCCTTTTGCCACCGTTTATATCATTTAGTTCGTTCCCTCCATGCGAGCCCGGTTGATTTAATAAATCTCAACGAGATCCTGCATTCCATTTACAAAGGAAAATTACATCTAACGTCATAGTTTCATACGTGGCAGTCTGGCAGTTCGACGCGCGAGGAATGCGAGGTTTGTGCGATTACTGCGATTACAGTATTAATAATCGGTCTTTTTTATTACGATCGACGTAAACATTTCTTTTCCCTCTTTCTCCTTCGATGAAAAGAACTGGATCAAAGAAGAGATTTATGTATATGTAAGTGAGCATATAAATTAATCATGCTGTCAAAAATTGTACTGTAGAAAAGTTGAAGACTACAAAATGATAAGATGCTTTTGTGAATGAATTACAGATCGTTTTTATCACGGAAAGATCAAGTTATCAGAGAGATACTTAAAAATTACTATAAATCACGTCTGACGAGATAACAATTGAGTTATAAATATAAGTATCACAACGGCTTCATTAGGCTTATTTCTTAATATTTCAATGTTGCTCACCTATTTGTTACATTCTTTTAATGAGAAATATCTGTTTTAAAAGATTTAAATCGCACGCATTGGTACAAACGTTCCGTTAAAATACCCTTTAAATTAACATAAGTATTAATTTCAATAATATCGCAGTATTTAAATCTAGTATTTAATATTCCCGATCAGATTTCAGTATTTCGAAAGTATTGTCGAGTTTCGTAAATTAATTTATTAATAAATACGAAAGTAGAAGAAATCAAGATCATGAGTCAAACTAAAAACAATGTTAATTTGAGCGACGTGAGTGACAAGTTCACGAAAGAGGTGCTAGTAGACGTTCTTCGTAAAGTATATGACGGGAAGAAGGTGCAGTTGACAGATTGGAATTTTGGCGAGGGATTTGCCAAGGGTGATAGCTACTTGTCAACTGTTAACAAGGGTATCCTGCATGGTATTGTGGACGGGCAACAAGTGCAAGTTAATTTCGTCGTAAAATCAATTCCCAAAAATGTTGGCAGGAGAAAGACTTTCAGGAGCGAAGATTTTTTCAGTAACGAAATCATGTTCTATACAAAGGTGAGACTGTACGAAATTTTCTTTTTATGTAATTGGAAATGCATGTATCTTTTAAAAAATGGATCAGTTATATATAATCAAGTAGTAATACAGATATAAAACATTTATAAATATAAAACAATTTTATAGATTATCCCTAAGGTTGAAAAATTCTTAGCAGAGAGAGGACAGAGCAATTTGCTGCGCATACCACGTTACTTGGCTTCTTACGTGGATGGTGAAAATGATTTTATAGTCTTAGAAGATGTCTCTCCCCTAGGATTTGGACCAGCGTCCAGGCAAAGCTGCCTGGACTGGGCGGAATGTACAGTAATCTTAGAAGCTTTGGCGAAATTTCACGCAATTTCATTTGCATACAGAGACCAACGAAAAGAAGAATTCGTAGAAATAACAAGCTATTTAAAAGAAACCTACTTTGGTAATCATAACTGGAACTGGTACCAAAGATTTCATGTAAGTAATTATACGCATTGCATTTTCAATGTAATTCTTACTAAAGTATACCTTCTGTTACAGAAAAAGCTAGTTGATATAGCAAAACATGCGTTAATGACGGAATATCCTAACAGTAAAGCTGAAAAGCAATTTAATTCCTATGAATTTGGTACACTCTACGACAAGTGTACAGAATTGTGTGAAGGAGATGCCCCGACGTTTGTTATAGCCGCGGGTGACTGTTGGGCCCCAAACTTTCTAGTCCGAGACATTGGACAAAATAAAAAAGAAGCACTAGTGCTGGATTTTCAACTTGCACGTTGCGCTAGTCCTATCACAGATCTATCCTTTTTAGTTTATTCTTGCACTCAGAAGCCATTTCGAGATGAGTATTATAATGACATATTGAAAGTTTATCATTCCGAATTAAGCAGCGCCATTAAATCTCTTGGATCTGAACCAGAAAAGATTTATCCGTGGGATTTATTTATGAAAGATGTAAAGTATCTATTTTACGTTCCAAATTTTAAACGGGAATTATATAGATATTAATACTCGATATTAATTGCAGGTGAAGAAAAATTCCATATTTGGATTAGTGTTCGCTCTGGAAGCTATCCCATTTTGTCTATTGGACCCATCACAATCATTTGATTTAGATGCTATTATCAAGGGCAACGAGACAGTAAATATTGCTGATGTATGGACATTATACAATATTAAAACATCAAGTGGAAGACAAAGATTAGCAGACGTAATTGTTCATGCAGTTGAGAATGGTTATTTATGAAAAAAGGATATTATTTATATGTAATTCATCTTTCTGCGTTATAGAAATTATAAAGCGTAACTATCATTTTAATACAATAATGCATATTATATATGTTACATATATTATGCATTATATTTATAACATATGTTATATACCAATACTATTGTAGCAGCAATATACTAATACTATGTAATATTGGTATAACTACTGCTAAAGTATTATTACAATATATAATATTATTGATATATATACACAATTACCAATATATTTAATTATTGATAAAATTTCACTGTCACATATTTATATTTTTCTCAATGGATATATATATATCTCAGAATTATATTTATACATATGTGCAATTAAATTTTATGCGCGCACGCGTGCGCAATTTTTATTAAAAATGTGTAGAATTAAATAAAATATAGACAATATCCATGTCTTTTTATATAATTTTAATTACAACAACGTAGATTAATTAAAATATAATCTGTATAAGAGTAAAGAGATATAGCCACCCCCTTAACTTTTCTTCTTAGACGATACATATCTAAACTTTTGTGTTATCACATAGTAATATTAACAGGGTGGAGAGTATTGGTAGAAATTTTTATATTTTTTCTTTTTTGTTTGTTTTTTATGAAAAGTACATCTATTGCTGACAAGCATAGTACGTTAATGATAAGTGCATCATAGATGCATATTTGATGGAATAATCTTGCTGCACAAAGCAAATAACTTTTAAGACGTTGAAAAATGTCTTAATCTGTCTCGCAATTGATAGTCTTCGTGTATCTGCATCACGAGATCGCGGGTAAAGTTAATTGGATGTTATGAAAAATCACATGTCGAGAATATTACACGAATGACATATATAATAGCGCAACAGTATTTTTCACTAAGAGACACGTCTATGTGTTTTGATGTTGAGTATTGATTGTCACAACATTACTCGCATCAAAAACAGTTGTGTCTTCATCGTCTTCTTCATCCAATGGCAGCGGTCGCATCTCGACGTCTTGCCTGTGCGTGAGGACACCGTATTTTCGGACCAACTGAGCGCGTGTCTTACTTAATCTGTCGATAAGAGCAACACAAAACTCATTAAATTATTAATCACATACCAGATAAGTATCTACATTCTAAATTTTTTGGAGTGGAATCTCATTCTAAAGAGTGAAAATTAAATCAGTTAAATCTTGAAAAAGACTGACTCAATTTTCAATCTTCAAAAGTAAGACTTCACTCTGCAGAAATTCATTCTGAGACTCAATTCCACAACTTACGGTTATCAACCTCGGTCAACCAAAGTTTAATTTAGTCATCTCTTTCCAATTCTAAGAATTAAAAAGAGATAATAAGTTGAATTTTTATTAAGAGTTAATCGTGAGTTGTGGAATTGGGCCTAAAAATTTTAAAATGTAACATATTGTTCATGCTCATTACTGCTGCCTATTTTTACCTTAAACTACGGAACATGATGTAGGCCATGACAAGGATGCTTAGTCCCACAAAGACTAAGAAACCACGTATAAGAGCACCAGTGTTGAAGGATGTTTTTCCTTCGCTGGACTGTTTCATCAAAGTGCCAATATAATAGTTAATAATAGAGTTAGTTAATAAGAGATAGTTAATAACAATGAAAAATCAAGAAATATAATTCAGTAATATAACATATGTAGTTTGTAAAGTTCTGTTTAGATTTAAATTTACATATGATGTTCCTAAAAAATATTTTGTCAAAAATTTTAGCAATATAAATTACAAAAATGAAATGTATGAAGTTCACAAATATATTCATTTCAAAATAAAAAAACATTAATACTAATATCTGCTAATATTAATCTATTAATATGGATAAAAAGTGTATATATATATATATATATATACTTTTATATTTAATTCATATTTAATTAATATGTCAATATGTACCAACAATTAATGTGTTCCATCATTAATATTTATGGTTATTAGCATTAACGCTGCAATTATGCACTAGAATCGATTACTTTAGTATAATCAAGATATAAATTATTCTAAAGTTTTTTCCGTGAGCATCGATAAATTACAGTAAATGATACAAGAATTATTCCAGTGCACAGTAACAATTAATTTTTTTTACTTTTAACCTTTGTTTTCGCAGCATTACGTGTGCAAGAAATTGCCTTTAATCTTAATTTAGAACAAAAAAAAAGAATAAGCGACTTTTGGTTCTCAAAGATGTTTATACATTCAAAATATAAGAAACATGCTAGTATCAAATCAGTGAGATTTAAAGTCCTCTTTTACTGCATATAGCGAATGCTTTTTATTTTACAGAAATTATATAAATACATGAGAAGACAAAAATACAGAATACACTTTTCTTCTTAAAGCATCGCACAGAAAAATTTTATTCTAGTTTTTCGTCTTTTCGTGCGAGATTATTATCTTCCCGAATGTACGTATCATGCATTATGAGATAATAGAGGTTATTCGAGGTTATAATTTATGAAAAATAAAATTGTGATTACCATATATAAGAACGAGGAGCAGCTTGAACTTAACGAAGAATACGAACCTCACTGGACGTATCCCCGGTGTGCGCAGTTTTATTCACGACGGCGACGTCTGACGGTTTCGAGGTTATGTCGTGCGTCTTGTCATCAGCCGCCGATTTTTTCGCGTCAACGGGCGATCCGGCCGCATTCCTTTGACTGTCTTTATCGCCAAGCTTCTCGTTCGTTTCCACATTATCGATAGGAACTACCTTCCCGTCCACATTCGTCGACGACGCATTTCTCTTCTCCCGGAAAATCCCGTCGCAGACTGCCGTCTGTGCCAACAGGAAGATCAACAGGAATATGAAGAACTTGAGCTTCTGGATCTTCGACCGCGTCATCGTGCCGTGTCATTTAAGCGGCGCGGCAACGGCAGCGCGGCGACTATAGATTTCTTCCTCAAGGTTTACAACACGACAGTCCGACGTTCTAACACGTTCTCCATGTTGCCCGTTCGGCGCGCACAATTAGATGTCCGTCCTCCTCGTCACGCTTCCTCCCGGACCAGCTGTTTTGCGACGCGATATGTCCTTCGGAGTTCGGACAATTCCGTGTCGTCCTCGCGCGCGCGACGCCCCGCACACGCACATGCCGCGGAGAGTCGCGTGCGTAATCGCGCTCCGTTTAGCGTTAAAGGCTATAAAAGGCATTAAAAAACTCCAGACTTGCGACCGTGAATACGCGCACATGTACATGCGCGTGTCAACGTAATAACGTCTTGAATGATAACGACCGAGATCGTAATATCGATCGAATTATAAAACCAGCAGCAAATGTATGTTTTCCTGCTCGATTTTCCTATGTTTTCCTTCCTATTGTTCACATTTTATTTAATAAATTATTAAAAATTATACATTCTGGCCGCAATTTTAATAACGAATCTTTTTATTATTCCAACTCAAATAGTAGTAGCTTTAATTAAAAAATATTCTTATTGAAGGTCCTCTTATTCCAATCCAAGTAATGATAGCTTTAATATTATATTCTTCGTCAAAAATTATTACTCCTCGAAAAAAAACTATTTTATCAAATTAAAAATTATAACCTAAATAATACAGATTTAATTAATCAAGTAAAATTCTATCATGATATCATGACGAGATCATGGTGTGAGATGATTAAACATTTCATCTTCTCTTGAGTGTCGTGTCCGCGCTATCGCCCTTATTATCGAGGAAATAATAATCGTTTCGTAGTCTGGCTTAGCACCTTGATATCAACGCGGTTTGATAATGATTATTTGATAATGATTTCCTTTTCCACGATGCTCGAAAGGAGATTTAACGCTTGATATCCAATGCATTCAGCTTTAAATGCATTTTTATATTTTTCATTGTTAATTTACATATAAAAATTCTTTTACATTAATTGTTCCCATGATTTTATATTAATTTAACACAAATATTTTTGTTAAGTATAACGAAAGTATTAAGTCATTTAAAAAGTATCCGCGGTTTTTTGTTCAATTTTTGAATGAAAAAACCGCGGATACTTTTTAAATGACCTAATATATTTTTTCAGTTCTGCAATATAACTTTATCCATCTTGATGATTTTCGGTATATATCAATAACAGATCTTTTTTAATGCATGAGAAAAATGATTTTGATATCAACGTATATAATTAAATGCACTTTGGTTAAATCAAACATTTCTGATTATTATAACAAGATTCGAGATTTTACAGCTGTAATGTTTAGTAGACTATATTATATTATAAGAATTATAGCATATTACATTATAAAGATTTTAATATTTTTCAGTTGGATTTAACAAACGATAAATACTTATTCCAGTAATACGCAACATTACCAGAATTCTGATGAACGTTAATCCCAGCGAACTCTGGTAGTTTAGTTATTTTATTAATGTTTTATTTAATAAATATACTTATAATATGTATCTATATTATTTTATTAATAATAGTAATTGAATATAAAATATACAGGTATGCAGATAAAGTACATAATCCATCATATATGCGCTTTTTAATAAAACATATGTATTTTCTATATGATTAACAAATACCAGTATGCAATTTCGTTTGCATTCGATCTCCTTTAGTTAAATATTAAGTTATAAATAAATGGAGATTGAGATCGAATAGATCATTATCATTTTCTGGCTTAGTTAACAAATATCAGTGTATAATTTCATTCATTTCCGTTCGATCTTTTTTTGTTAAATATTAATCATAAACAAATAGAGATCGAATAAATCGATTTTTCATTATCATTTTCTAGCTTAATTAATTATCTCAACGTATAGTTTGAGTTAGTCTCTCGTATAGTTCAAAAATTTTGCAGCAAGTAATTCTATCGCCGATTAATCGAAATTTTATTGAAGTCACCTTTTTTCCCAATCGCGATTCTGGATAACATTTTCTGCGTAAAATAGACTTTCAGAACATGTTCTTGTTCATAATATCTTTTACTTGTATTTTTCTTTTTTCTTTTGTTTTTTAAACAAACCTCACGATAATTAATAGTTATCGAGTTAATTATTAATAACATGACCTCATTAATGATCGTTAACGTAGATAAAATTATTATCGCTCACGATATACCTTTTGTCATTAATTTTAAATCTATATGTGATAAGCTCGTGATAAGCTCCTCTGTAAACTTTGTAAACTTTCTAAGAATAAAATTTATACTAGAAAAAATAGAACCCTAAGCAAAATCTTTTAACAATTTTTTAATAATTATAGCAATATTATATAATAGCTATTTGAGTTTTATAATTAATTGAAGCTTTTTTGTAGACTATATATTAATAAATACTACTTATTAATTCTAGTATTTTATATTAATATATAACATTGTAAAAAAGTCTAAATTAATATACAGTTCAAAAGTCAGCAGTACACGATGCACATTTTCTTAGTAGGACGATTTTCTGTTTATTATTAAAGAATTTTCATAAAATCATTTCTTTCTGTCTTTTGACAGACTCGAGTATTATTATATTTCTTTAAAAAAGACTCAATTCTTTCAAGTAAAATAAGTCAAAACATCAACAGTCGTTGCAGGTTTGAAAACGACTCTTTTACCAAGCAAATAAAATAATTATTTTTACGTGCGTCTACAACAAAGTGAAACGAAAAAGTTCATTTGTTGTTTACTGATAAGTAAACGTATCATTTGTTTTGTGAATGTGTATGTCTACCCAGAAAATATTGAAACGTCTTATATACAAGGTATTCTATTTTAAATGCATTAAATTTTTTGAAAACTATGGTGGCCTTAGGTGGCATCGCCAAGATCAGATCAATGGTACCTTCTTATGTCCCTTCCAAATCATACAACTTTTATTTGAAACATTTTTCGTATCTACTATAGTTTTCGAGAAATTTTAATACATTATTTAAAATGGGACATCCTGTATAAGACATTATAAAAACGTTAAAATTCATGAGACATATATTTGGTATTCTATATGAAAGACGTTTATATGACATTTTAAGATGTCTTATCCTGATTTATAATGTCTTATAGACATTATCTTCAAAATAATTGCTTCAGACATTTTTTTTTTAAATAAAAATAAAAATTACTGATATCAAAACGCATTGACATGAGGAAGAATACAAAGCAAAAACTGGAATTACCTGATAAATCTATATATTAATAATATCATTCTTACACAGAAATAAAGATGTTATTTCTTCCATATGCTTACATATTTTCAATAACGATCTGTCAAAATATACATCAGATTTGTTATCTATTAGTAAAGTAAGGTAAGTATTAAATGTCTACATCTAAATAATATTAAATTATTGATATTTATCGATTTATCAAATAACTTCAATTTCTATCTCATATTTTTCCTCTTGTCAACGCGTTTCCAGACAGTCTCGCATAATTTCTGTAGTTGCACAACACTAATAATATAATACAAAATATTAGAGAATGCCAGATTAATCGACATCCAATATTTTTTAAAGGGTTACGTACTTATATAATTTTCTCCCACAAAGTTAAAACGTTCTATTTTTTTTTTTATGTAAATATAATCCCGATTTTGTGAACGGTTTCTTTATTAAACGATGTATTGAACATCGCAAAGAGATTTTAATTTCGAATTCTCTTTCCGTGTCTATCGCAAATAAGATATTTATATATTTTATAAAATATTTCAGATAAGATGTTAACGTATTTATATATAAGAATTGTAAATCATCTGAAATTCTGAAACGCTTCGTCTTTCCTTTTTTTACTCTCTTCGAGCATAAACAATCGACACGAGTTTGCTCTTTCGTTCCAAGAATACGCATTTATATTTGCGGAATAACGTTGACACGCGTGGAGTAGATGACCAATTCACCAATGGAGGCAAGGCAATTCGACACGTGATATACGTGCCTGTGTGTGCTGCAAATACGTAAATTCGCGGGATTCAGTGCGGGATTTAATTTATCTCCCGGCCCCAAGTTAAAGCTGCGAATCAAGCTTTCATCGAATACTAATAATTTTTATATATAGAGATAGATAACTTTAATCTCGGTTTACCCTTAATCTTTTTTTACTTCTCAAAACTAACGAAGTATGATTAACTGAGATTAAAATTCATGTATATTTATTAATTATAGAAATGGATATTAGGATAATTACTTTGGTTAAATTCCAATTAACTTATTGGCTATTGAAGTTGTTCCGTTAACAGTGTCAAAAATTATTTTTTTTATTACGAAATTAATAGCTCTACAACTAACTTAGTAATGAATCAGCTGATACTGATGTAATTTCCATTTATGTTGTTTAGTTTAAATTATATATATATCAGCAAATTTTAAGGTCAGCAAATTTTTGAAGATTTCAAGCAATACGAATAAATACCTTATGTTTCTCTCTTATCGTTACACAAATTTTAATATCAAATTTTGATGAAATTAAGGATGAAATTGGATTCAATTTCGCTTTTCTGCCTCTTTGAAGGCTCCTAATATACATAATATTCTTATCTTTTTCATGAATTTTGCAGACAACCGGCAATTATTTTCCTCCGTCTTTCTATTTTTTTCCTCAGCCCATTTCTCAGACTCTGATCCTTTTTTATCGCTGATATGCTTTCTCGTGAGTTTCCTCGCAAGTGGAAATTGACATTGACCCGTGGGTGAATCGACGCGCGAATTCAGCCCTGCTACGTGTATATACATTCACATCCATGCGTGTGATACGATCGGACGCGCGGTCGGTGAGAGGCGGAGAGTCAGAGCAGCAGAGAAAAGCCAGAACTACCAGGAGTGCCAGAAGAGGCCGCCGTAGCTGCGGCAGTTGAGACAGTTGGGGCTGGTTGAGGCCGTTGGGGGCGTTGGGGCAAGCGCACGAACACGACTCTACGGTCTCTACGGGAGTGAATTCGCGTTTGCGAGGAAGTCGCGATCGTGAGTTCGGTGCGTGCACACATCGGCTCGCGTACATATAATATATGTATATATACATGCCCGTTTCGGCTGTGAACGGCGCGCCCGCGGCTGCGATCGCCGACGGGTCGAACGGCGTAGCAACGGATGGCTCGCGATTCTGGCCGATCGGCTGGCTGAATATGATGCGCGCCTGCGACGACACGTCCGATGTACGATTGGAGAAGTTCCGAGCGGCGACAAACGGCGCCGTCGCGACGGCGTCGGGGAATGGGGACGCGAACACGACGGAGGAGATGGCGACGTCGAGGAAGTGTGATGGACAGCTGTCTATGCTGTGCGCGACGAACAGCTGTTCGTCCTGCAAGCCTGCATGCCGTACGTCAGAAATGGAGCAAGAGGACCATGGCCCGTCCTGGGACAATCTACCCACCGTTATCTTGCAAGAGATATTCTCATATTTGTCGCACGAGACCAGAATAAGAGCCTCCCAGGTATATAGAATGTGAGAGTGAAAGAGAGAGAAAGAGAGTGTGTGTGTGTGTGTATGCGTGTGCGTGAGTGTATATGTTGTCTGTGAGCCTTGCCTCTTGTTTTCCTTTTCTTCACGATCGTTTGCGCTGTAAACTGACCTGACATTGTGTGTGGCCGATAAAGCTGTCGCGTCATTTGCAAGAATATTTCTTATGCGACGGAATGTATACTAATGAGAATCCGCTATCTGCTTCTCGTCTGACATACGCTTGCTCAACCGTTATTTGCATGGTAAAAGTTTACGAACGTTATATATATGTGTGTGTGTGTGTGGTGATGTGTGTGTGTGTGTGTGTGTGTGCGAGGAGAAAAGGAATCCCTACTCTTTATATATAACTCTTTTCTGCATTATTGTAGTCGAGCAACAAAACAGTACATTGAATATATTGATGTCGAAATACCAACGATCATTTATAGCGATAAACTTTGTCAACATGATAGAGATTAGATCTTTAGCGATATGAAAAATTGTTAACACACATAATGTTTCTGTAAATAATATTTTATATCAATATAAATATAGTAAAAATGATTGTTGGAAAGTTCTATATGTTATTTTTATTATATCAATAAACTTGTTTTTTATTTATAATCAATAGGCTCATTTTGTTTAACTAAACTTGCATGGTCCATTTTTTCTCTAATATAGAAAGAAAAGGAAAAAAGATTAATCATGTAAAAAATTCAGCTAAAAAGAACAGGCCTAATGTAAATATTGATCAATATTTATGTAATTATTTATAAAAATTTATGCTTAATTAATAGAAAATTTGTTCATTGGACTTGTTCAATTTTCATAGGTGTGCAAAAATTGGAGATATACCTTGTTTCACCCAAACTTCTGGAAAAAAATCACTTTTGTGTTCAGAGATCAGGACAGTGTTTTGTGGGCTCGGTTCGTAAGACTCACCCATCTGTTTGCAGATTCATTAAGTGTTGCACCGTACACATAGCATGTTTGTTATAGATTCTTGGCAAATCGTTTTGCTCTGAGTGTACACGAAGCTACGATTCGTTGGGCTAAATCTAGATCTAGAAAGATCAATTGCACAGGAGAAACGTATAGGCTCTTGAAGAAATTAAGTCACAATAGACAATTGAGAAAATTGTGCTTGGAATTCTATAGTAATACTAGTGATTCTCCTTTTGACAACGAGGATAACAGGTATTAATCTTAGTTAATGTATAAATCAACTTTCTCGTTACATTTAATAAATAAATGAATGAAGTTGGATTGTTTCTATTTTAGTAATTACAAGAGTTCTTCATCATTAGAAAGATGTGTGATAAATATTATTGAGACTTCTAATTACTTAGAAGTCCTAAGTCTAGGATGCAGGGAAGAGTTAATTATGAATTTATCTGCAATTGTGGAACCTCTCCGTCTTCATCACTCCAAACATTTAACACACCTCAGTCTGGCATCTATCAAGGACGATCCTGACTATTATGACTTCTTTGAATTTGATAACACTATTTTTAATTCGTTTATCAGATTGTCTATCTTAACTTTAGATTATGAGTATGTCAGTGATGCTTTGTTGAAAGCATTAGATAATGGATGTATGCAGAGACTTGTAATTCATATACATGGTTGGAAACCGGATTATCCAGGAACAACAAATATGGCTTGGAAAATATTTGTCCAAAAAAAGTAAGTTACTGTAATTGTCACACTATAGTCATATTGAAAATTATTTTGATCGTTTACAAAAATAGGTTAGTAGTTAAAAAAGGACGTACCTAAATATTTATTTATTTGCAGTCCACATTGTGAATTAAGGCTCAATCTTATACATTCTTATGCCGGTGTCAAGGTTTTGGATACTGACATATTATGTCCTGCTATGCCACTGACACACTTACAAGTTCTATTCTGTGAAAACATTAATATCAGTGCGTTACATCGATTATCAATGTGGTATTCACATACATTGCAATCATTAACATGGGTAGATTCGATAGATTACAAACAGAGTATACCATCTACATTTGATCCAAACGATCCACATGGGTAAGAAAATTTTCTATACTTTGACTTAATATGTTCTCTGAGGAGAGAGTATCATATATTTGTTTTTTTTATAATTCCATTATAGTCCAGATCCTTTGGTGTTAGTGGCATGGAAGTGTAATAAACTTATGAAGATGATGTTTCTGGGTCATAAATATTATCAAGAGAATCTATTGGCCATCGCGCGTCTCAGAGGCAATACTCTTAAATCGTTGGTATTTGCAAAAAGTGATATCATATCTGAAGTTGAATTGTGGCTCGAAGCTGAAAATATTAGACGTGTGAGTATAAAAAAATGGCAAATTTATATTTTTTCTGCCTTCTATATTTTTTATCTTCTATATAAGAAATTAAACATTTGTATGATTAAGGAACTAATGATTGTGAAACCGAGTAATCTTGAAAATATTAAATGTTTTAACATTTAGGAAATTCGAGAAATAATGGGTCCACATTGGAGGCCCTTGAGTGACTCAGATTTGCCAAAGGTGATATTAGATCCTTTCAATGGCGATAGTAGAGAAGTGATTGAACCGTTGGTTCTCAGTGATCAGAAATAATTCTCGACAGACGCCAAGGAAAATCTCTATCCAGTGTGATTGTCCAAAAACCATCTCCGGGCCACCAACATTCTCAGAAGTAATGTTATTAAATTACATCTTTTATTCTTCTACAAAATTTTTTTAACGAGGGTGAAACATCGAACAGCAAATATGCAGTATAAGTTCGAAATCTCGTTGTCAATAGCGTTATCGTTTTCCGAGTTGGGAATTCTGGGTGCAATGTGTAAGAGATACAAAGAGATAAACGCACACATAACTTTCTCCTCGTTTACCAATACTTCTATCGGTTATTATATATGAATGTGATAAATTGTAGTCAAACTAGATCTACTTTTGACTTGTTGATGATATATCTGATGCAAATTACAACACATTTGCAAACAATGAGATGATCTCTTCAACTAAGAGACGATCTCTCCAGTGATTTATATATGCACTATAGTTTTCTTCTTATGGAAAACCATGAGTCGCGCTTTGATATTAACAAAGCGACATTAGGAATGTGATCACGAACGTACATTATCACATTAAGTGCGATATGTAAATGTATATCGTCCCTCTCGTCTATTAAGTCGATATTGCCAGAAGAAGCCAGAATACATTTTATATAACTACATTTATTATTCTGGTCAAAGAGAGCGGCACATTAGAACGACGTAGCTGAGAACAAGATCACAATATAAGAAGACTGTCGTGAATCTTGTAAGAGATGTATCATGCAAAGCGGAGCTGGAGCAAGGATACGAACGACTTGTTCAGCAGAAAAAGAGAAAGTGTGCAACATGTAGAAGAGAAAGAGAGAGAGAGAGAGAGAGGGAGGTTCGAATCTCGTGATCTTCCACTGGAAAGAATAACAAAATTCCACAAACGTATGTAAGTAGAAATGCGTTTAACAACATATTTTTCCAATTCTCTGGGAAGTTAGGTGATAGCGAGCGCCAAGAGCATGACGTGCGAGAGTAAATATCTAGTAAGACTTCGCGAAGAGTTCGTCGAAATGAGCGGCACGGGAGCATAAAGAGTCTTGAAGACAAAGAGAAAGTAGAAAGAGAGCACGAAGTCAATACAGCGATCCGAGGTTATTTTTAATACCAAGACCAATCGGACGCTTTTGTACAAATGTTAACATAGCGCGGTCCACTCGACGAAGTACGTAGAACGCAGTTGCGAGCGAAAACGAAATGAAAAAGAAAAAGATCGCTTGATATATATCCACCACCTGTCTATGTATAACTTTCGATAGGTGATAATGAGTAGCGATCGAACGAGTAACGCAAATATATCTATACTCATCGTGCTCTTAGCGATCGCTGATGACGAACATACACGAATGTAGGTATATCTGTAAAATCGGAGTTATTAACCGCTAATCGTATATGTATGTATATGTATGTATAACTGTATTATCTGTCGAACTTTAAACACGTCAACATCCGGACGCAGCGCGCATCTATTTCTGTCGTGCGATTAACAGTGACGATTCTGAGAGCGTGTTTAAAAGAGAGAAAGGAAGCGAGAGAGGAAAAGAGTGAGAGAGAGAGAGAGAGAGAGAGAGAGCGCTATTCGTAACAAAGATAAAATACCAAAATGTAACCGTATATGCCGTATATACACACAGTTTACTATTCCGAGAGGTTCTTTACTTTTTTCGAGCCCTTGTATAATTATATTACATTATCGTGTATCGTAACTTATAGTCACACGTGTATTAATATTGGTTTTTATATGTGGTTTCTGTACATATATCTCTCCATGCGTTCGAGACACTGGATACACGCGCGAACGACGCGGAGATGCGTGCGGAAAAAATATACAAGAGGAAGAAGGGAGAGATAAGGGAAGCACAAAAGGAGGGAGGAGATGAAAATACGAGGTGGAGAAAAAGCGTTTCTTTTCGACGTACGACCAGCTGTTATACAAGATGAACGGGCCTTAATATGTACCTGAGTCGCGGATAAGGGTAAATTCACTGAGAAAATCTGTCACGCGACATCCACCATAGAGAGATAACCAGATTAAACACCTTAGAAACGGCCGCCGTCCTTCGTGAATGTGCGGTACGCCATGTGCACACGCGCCCACGTTCGCCAGGACTATGGCCATCAACTTAAGGTATATCACGCTCGTGCCCTTTCATTTCGTATTCCGCGCGTGTATATTTTTACATCAGATGAAAGAAAGGGGAGAAGTCTAACGCGAAACGAGAGGAGCTGACTGAGGGATTTCCAAAAGTCGTAACGATTAATTACCGTACGAATGTAAGCGTAATCGACTAAAGCTCGTCCGCTGATCGCCGATACTACGCGGATGGAACAAAGACTTTATCAAGTAATTTTACGTTTCTTCTCGTTTTTCTTTCGAACGAACGGAAATTTCACGTGAAGAAGAAAAGAAAGAAAAACTATATTCGGGGACGCGATGTCCAGCGTGTGAGTGTGATAAATGAGCGAGAGAAAGAGAGAGAAAGCGAGAGTAAAGTGTGAGAATAAATAAAAACCATGCGACAATTATGCGAGAACAAATTTAATAGCGTGCGAATAGAGGAAGAACGATAAGAAAATTATTCGAAAGCGCGGAGCGTGATGATATCGCACGTTTTGAATAACAAGATATCCGCGATTCGTAGAAACAATTCAAGTGATATGATAGTACCATCTCTGCGAGTCCTCTGTAATAAAGTAATATCATGTGTAGAAAGGCGGTCGTGCAGCCGCTCGACACGGGCACAACGCAATTATGTAACCACGTGTCGCTAGCATGATAACGACAAAACCACAAGCATAAGACTGAATGACTGAACCTGCCGAAGGAGGTGTATACAAGTCGAGCGGGCTGCATGTTGCCGCCGCGCGTTGCCATATTCATAAGAGGAGGCAGAACGCGGAAAGCACATCCGGTCGAAAAAAAAAAGAAGAAAAATTGTCGCCGTTCCGAATTGAACGCGGTAACCGTTCTTTCCTCACGGTGTTTTCTCCACTGCGCTTTAGATGCGGCTTTCCTTCCACGTTGCTTTCCACCTCGGCCTGGTCTAAATCGCTTCGCCGTTGCGATCGAGCGGATGCGAACGTATTTATGAATATGCGCGTCGCGAAAGCGAAATAAATAACAAAGGGATGGTGCACAAGCTAGCGTTTAGATCGGAATAAGCCCTGCGAGAGCTCACTCGACGGCGGTTCTCGTACAGAAGCCGATATTATAAACTAAACCCTTAAAGCAGCCTGCCAAGAATCAAAATACTGTAAAATATCAAACGAACGCTAGCCAGTACAGAATGCTAAGATCTATTTTTTAAGAAGCGAATGTATATTTTTGTACTAAGGCAGGCCTTAGCGTGTGATCGTGTCTTCTTGCACATAAATGGCGAGACGAGAGCTGTGATTGTAACGTGTTGGCTATACAAAACACAGGGAGGGACAGAGGAGATAGAGAAATCAACACGGGAAATGTATGTCGAAAGCGTAATCATGCATAGTATGCGAACAACACGAGGGAAACACTAGGATCCCTGATTGATTGTTACCGAGTGAGCTGTAGGCATAGGCAGGGCGTTATAAAATCGAGAATAAAACATCTGTGATAAAGTAGAAAATCTTACAAGCGTGTTCGAGAGTGGATGAAGATCCGCGAGTGTCGATAGAAAATAGGGGAAACAAAATCAGGAGAAAAGAAAGAAAGAGAGAGCTGTGGAGGACCGGAAGTCCACGCGCGAGCGTTGATGAAACTTGTACGCGCAACATCAGCGATTTCTTCGAGACTTAAAAGGGAGTCTAGTGACCTTAATGCTCCGAAGAAGAGTTTGTCGTGCATATGATTGATTAGTAGCAGCAAATCGAAAGAAAAATGAGAGTGAAAGAGAGAGAGAGAGAGATTGATTGATTGATTGATTGATTGATTGATTGATTGATTGAGTGATTGTCTTTCGACAAGATAGCCCGGTCTAACTAGCAGACGACGACGACAACGACCCGATCAGCTCAATCGCGCGCTTTACGTGGATTTGCACGTTTATTTTTCTTTTTTTCTTCTCGGCCAGAGCTGGAGCGATCAGGTGTGCGCGTCCCGCGGAGGAGCGTGGTACTCTTATCGGAAGTCTGGTATACAGCGTAGTGTATATTTCCCGCATGATCTTCGTCGTTTAAGGACGTACAATGTACCATGGCTCTAAAGCGGAATCACGGCCAGTGCGAAGAGTTTTTCTTGTTGCTCCGTCTACGACATTCCACGATGAGAAGCGAGGATCGGGGACACGCGCGACCGCTCCGTCGACTTCTAAACGAACAACGTTGGTCTTCTCGACTCACCCCAGCTAGAGAATCTTTACGCTGCAGCGGCTAGCGTTCCTCCTTCGATTATAATCAGCCGCTGATGGCGAAACGCGCGCGCATTTAGATAAATTATGATAAAGAAAGAGAGAAAAGGGAAAAAAGAGCGTTAAGTTATCGTCGACTGAAAGCAAGATCGCACAAGATTATCGGGGTATAGCCGGAGTATGTATATGTATGTATATAGTTTGATTTTGACACGGACACGCGACACGTAGACGCATTTTGTTGAACCCGCGCGAACGAAACAGTCGCCGTCGGGTCAGTCGGCGGCCACGAGTAATATTATAAGTTCCTAAAAAGAAATATTTTACACAGTTTAAGTGATAGAACGAAGAGAGGGCCGGCATACGAATACACACACCCGTGCACGAACAAGAAAGGGAGCATTCAGTTCGACGTAGATTTGTTCACTCGCTCGTTCGTTCATTCGTTGATTCGTTTTCGGCGCTTTCCAATACTTTCGGACATGGCACGAGTAATGTCGTCATAATTTAATCAAGTACGAGTACATGTAATGATGTAATCCATTCCAGTCGACGGGAATGAGCGTGATGTAGTGTCGCGAGGAAGATCGGACAGGCAGTGCGTATCGTCGAGAAAAAAATCGGATCCGAGAGAAACCGCCAAGTATTGCATATAGTATATCGATCGGAAGCAGATTTGATCTTGTACGAGTTGTGCGTGTCTTGTTTTGATAATTGCCAAGAGCGTGTTCGATAGACTATTAACTTAATTCCCAAAAACGACGATCTTGTTAATTCTAAGATGCACAAACGAACTTAGTGTAACTATGTCTATAAGTTTCCGTAGATCGTCTTCGATTAGGTCGACCGATCTTATCTGAACTGAAAATGCGACTTGCGTTATTTTCGAAACACATGGCTCGTACGTTTCCGATTGACTTGTACCTGTCGTCGCGACGTCTGCGATCATTGCGTTCCGTTCGTAACAAATGATCTTAGCCCATTAGGACGGGAACAGGATCGTCAGACACGCGCATTCCTCTATCGATATCACACGTAAGAGTTACACAAACAGCGTTAGATGTAAGCAACGAGTTATGTAAGCGAGAACAGAAGTTTGTACCGTCGCGCAATCAAGCCTGAAGGTTTCCGGAATCTTTCACAAAGGGCTTTTACGGTCCCACGTATATATTTTGTCGCTATATATAATATTCGTTTATAGTTACGAACGGATCTTACAATGTTCTAGTTGTAGCGTGCGCAAGCATATAATGCCATCGAGCATGGGGTGGTCATTCGAATGCACATCCGTCCCGAATGCATGGGACTTTTAGCTCTCTATTGCCCAAGTTATCTCTCTCAGAATTCAAAGGAAAGCGTGTCGCACAATAAATTAAAATAAATCTGTGCTTTTGGAAATGTAAAGCTTGGAAACGATTTCTCATGTTGGAACTTGAAGTTAAAATTATTAATAAGGAAAGAAGATAATAAAACCAGTGACGTGGCATAGGGCAATGGAGAGTTAAATCGAAAAGAAAGCGTAGCGTGTAATGGTGAATGATTCAGAGCATCGAAGCACAGTATCATGTTTATCATTGCAATTTGTATTGCGTGATGCATGATCGACGAGAGATCGAAGAATTGTGCGCGACGAGAGAGAAGATAGTCTCTCGCGTATTATTTGAAAAGGTATTAAATCAAGCAAGAGCGATGTAAAAGAATTTGTACGACGATCATCTTCGTTAGATACGCCGTCATCGAAGTAAATTCTTGAACACTCGCCTGCGATAAAAACTGACTAAGAAACGTGCTAAATCGATTCTGATTGCTAATACAATTTCTAAGTGTATATTTCAGATTTGAAGCGTTTTAAAACAAAAAGTGGCATTCGGGCGTTGTGCAGTACATATATATATTGGCGTTATTATATAATACTGTCGGTATAAAATTTGATTTATCACTGTAAGAATCTTTTTCAATAAGAATTTCACTTTTAGCACGGAGATGTCAGTTTTAGCTTCTCAGCGCAGGGAACGTACAATCTATCCAAGAGGGTAGAAACCACTTAGTACTCAAATATTGCTGACCACAGAATCTCGCCCGAGTTCAACCGATGAATAATTACAGTCGTATATAGAAGATATCGGTCACTTTTGAAATTTGTCGATTGAATTTTCTTAAACAGGTCTTCCCGGACCTCAATTTTTCAAAGTGGCACCGCGGTATTAAACGGTTGAATAAGAACGGGACTCTATTAAGCGTAACAAAAGCAATTGAGGAAAAGCGATCGTTGCTTTGCGAATGTTGTTCCCCATCGGTGGAACATAGTTGAAACGACGCGAAATCACGGCGACGCGGCCAAGCGGACCAAGGTATACCTGTAATTACTTCTTGTCGACTCTGTAGCATTTAGTTTCATTAAGTATTAGCATCGTCGGCAGCTGATGCCGATTGTACACATTGTGATGAAGAATTGCGCGAAAGTCACGCGCTCGCTCTCCGTGACGGTGACTGCGTGCTCGCCGCGATTTAGCGTCGCTTTCACATTTTCCTGTCTGCAAAAGCGGCGCTTCGTCGATGCGTCTCGACATGTTATTCGTTACACCTGGCGTCGTTTGATCAACAATGCCGAAGAAAAAAAAATTGCGATCGGTGCTAATTAATCGACATGTTATCAAACGTAAACGTGTTGCGTCGCATGTTTCTCGTATATGTGATACGTTGCAGATGTAATAAGGGATGTCGAGGAAAGGGGATGTATTAGCGAAGGGCTTTTGGAGTCTTGGAGCATTCTGGCAATCGGCTTTTCCTTGGCGATGTAACGAAATATCGTATCCAATTGTAATGGCAAAGTTTCATCGCGAATAAATCTTCGCCACGGATTAAGTTCTCAATATCGAGTCGTCGCTCAAAAGGAAAAGTCGCTTCCAAGTTCCTTCGTAGAGGGAATAATCGTCTCACTATCGATATATTTTCCTTCGAACAGTCTGCGTAAGCGAATCTTAAGACAATTGTCCTTATTACTTCGAGGACAGATCTTGTTCGGACATAGTTTCGCTATGTATTAAGGAGACGGGTTTACAGAGCGCGTGAACAGCGCGTAGACAAGCGCGGGGACCCGTTTCCTTTTCGTATGCTGTCGATGCGAGATCGAAATGGCATCAGCATCGAATCAGCATATTGAAGTCTCACTCGTTGTTGCTTGTGATGTCGGACCATCATCCGAATGAACCAACCGCGCTATATATTTTTCTCTGCCAATGTAATCGCGTCAGTACACTACCGAATAATTGTCTCACTTAGCGAGAATAACGAATTGTAAAATGTATATGTATGTACGTTGCGTGTTCGTCTATTCTATGCGTATTATGTTGTGTGCGTGAACGCGCCGACGAGAGAGGCTTCGCGATCGTAGATTAATTAATCGCGCGGCTTAATTCGACGATGAGGAATCGCGGGAGGTCGGTTGATTTTTCGCTGTCCTTTTCGTGCTCGTTGTTGTATCTGTTCGAGACCGCGAATAACAGCGGCATTAAACGCGAAGCTCGTTGTAATTGTGCATTATTTTCTAAGCACTATCGATGTTAGTTCAAGCCACTTCCCGACGTCCTCGACGTGCGTCGAATCGCATCTAACTATGAAACAATGAAAATCAATACGCTGCAAAAATAATTGGAAGCTTATATTTTTTCTCAAAGAACGGTAACAGCTTTAAAGATTATGAATATATCTACTTAAGAACAAAGTTTAAATCTTGATATTAGAATCTTGATATTAGAATGCCAAGTAGCCTTCGATATATAGATATATATATTGAGATATTAGTTGTATTATATTTCTTATATTATACATCTTTTTCTTTAAAATCTAGTTAATTTTAAAATTTAATTAATTATTTTGTTGAATAATAAAAATTGAAAGTTAAAATTTGTTTTTATTTTTATGAAAATATTTTTGAAGTATGACTTTTTCGGCAAAAATGCCCCCTTATATTGATTCTGTTAAAATAGAAAATATATACACTCGTTATATATAAATTATTATATATAAATAAATAAGCATTTTTTTAAATTTAGAAATGTTACGGGCCTCCAAAAATAGAAACCATTAGTGATTGAAGAAAATTCGATGATTTACGATATTTTTCATGTCTTTAATATGTAATGCTGTTATACTTTTTGATAAATTTGTTCCATAAAGAATTGATTATACTGTTTTTTAATATATATATTTATGTAAATACACGATATTTTTTTAACTCTTTTTTTAACTCTAATAAACTGATATTTAAACTGTTCGTTTAAAGCAGAAACCTCCCAATTATTTTCGAGCAGTGTTTAATATATTATTCTATCAGTCGATTTAACGATCGTCGAGACGCTCGTCGTTGCGTTTTAATTTTTTTATGTGCCGTTATGCATTATTAAATTAACAGTAAACATACTCTATTTATTCCTTCGGATAAAAATCGACTTAACGCTCTAGCAACAATACCAAATTCATGTATCTTTGTTTAGATATACAAGACTTAATTCGATTTAATTATTCACCCATTATCCGCAATAATACATTGTTTACAAGTAAGCTTTTTCAATATCTGATTATCTTAATTCTTATATATCAATTGTTGTTCACAATCTATTTGACAAAAATTTGTTTTTGTAAGAGTTATATCCTAAAGTAAATAAGTTAAGATATTAGAATGATAAAAAAGCTCGCTCGTTTTGTTTCATATAATTTTTGATATTTGATGGAATAAAACAAAATATTATGTATGAAAGAATTTTTTTATCGTGCTAATACTTGTAAAAAAATGATTATTTATTGTTGTTACTGCGTTAAATCACGGTTAATGCACCGAATACAGGAATATTTAAGTAGTTGTAGGAAGGAAAAAAGGAGTAGACTAATTTTTTCACTTGATTCAATGATTCTTACATTTTTCTTGTTCCTAGACTATACGGAACTACTTACGCCAAGCTATTT